TTAGTTACTCTGCTGTATCACTTTGGAACAGCTTGCCCACTGCAGCTAAAGAAAAAGGCATTGGCTTAAACAAGTTTAAATGTATTCTTGACGGTACATGATTTCAGTACTATACATATACTTGTTTGTTAATATTTTTATCTCAGCTTTAATATGTGTGTAATATTATATTAGGAAATTTTATTAGTGTGATGCATGTAAACGGCCCCTTGAAAAGCAGGTGTATATTTGAGCCCTGAAGGGTTACCGTTTTAAAATATTTTTAAATAATAATAATAATAATAAATTCTCGAGTCATACAGACTACAATTCTCAAAATCTCACCGGCTGTCTTTCTTGCTTGGTCGTTATAATTGCGTGGTCGTTACCGCGAAATATACGACGTTTGCTAAATACGAACAGTCGAAACGATTTTTAAGTCCATATGCGATGTTATCAAATGTCTCTAATATAGACATTGCCAAATCTAAACGGCCAACTCACGAACTCATTGTTGCTGCTTACTAAATAGTGAGAAGGTCAAACGCGAAACGATTTTGGTGCTTATAGTAATGCATATAGCATAACCTTAGAAACTCTAGTTTATTTTATATCACTAAGAGCCCTTTTCGATTAACTTTTTCCATATCTGCGATTCAACCTTTATATCGCTGAACGATAACGTTCACAATCAGTGGTATAGTGTCAGTTCAGTTGATCAATTGTAGAATTGATGTTTGAAAATTTATTTACAAATAAAATGACTTTAGAAATACACGCGTTGTTGTTGAGTTGCGAGATTTATGAGCCAAAGTTATTCATGCGCATAGTCTGCGCATGGGCAGTTTTGCATTAGTCAGATATTTCGCATATCAGGAATTTCGTCTCTGCATGTATTCTCTCTATGATTAGTCTGGCTTCTTAAAATTTGAGGAAATTTGCATGTTTGCATGGCAAGCGCTAATCTAGGATGGCAATTTCATTCCCAGAGTATGCCTGTTCGCGGGTTATGTAGTGGCATGCCACTACGTAACCCGTGAACAGGCATACTCTGGGAACGAGGTTCACGCGACGGTTGGTAATTATCATTTAATTCGAGTATTTTTTGTTTTAACATACCCAGGTTTCAAATAAAAAGAGAAAGTCAGAAAATGCTATCGTGATTCAAGAGCAAGTTCCGGTTGCAGGTATCATTGTTGTTACTGCTGTCGTCAATGTTGTTTGGTCGTTGGTCATTTTGTTGTTGTTGTTTATTTGTTTATTTATTAAACTTTGGCCGTTAACACGAACATAAACTAGATAAATACGCACCCCGCTTGCCAACAATTTTGGGAAAAGAAATGTTAATTAGTGGTTAAAGAAATATTAATGAACCAGGTAAAAATCGGGTAGATTCGTTGTCGCTCCCCCCCCCCCCCCCTGCTGACAGTTTTAATCAAGCCATGTGTGCAATTTGAAATAGGAAGGAAATGTCGCTATATTCGTGCTAGTGGCAAAAGGGTAGCATCTTTAGCATCTTTGAAAGGGTAAAGTCGACAGTATGATTGTGGCTAGGTTGTTGCTATTATTTTCATGCCATTGCATTATTTTATTGAATATTTATCCCAACTGTCAATTTGAATATACTATCCCAACTTAAGCGCTGTTTATATGTTAGCCAGGCTGGCCCGATGAGCGTAACTGCTCGTTAAACATGATCTCACCGTGTCGTTCTAAAATAGTAGAACCTATTTGCAAGGCCCATTGAAGGGGGTTTTTGGATGTTAGGATGTTAGGGTTTGTAATCCAAGTGAGAATATATACATTTTAAGACCTAACCAGGAACGACAGCGAAAAATGCAGCACAAGGTCCTCTGGTAGGAATCGAACCTACAGCTAACTGTTGAAATTGCGAACCGGCTTATTTAAGCCTCTCAGGCATGGTCTTGCTTTATTTGTGTTTTTTTGTAGTGAGCGCAGAATCGTGGAAATGGGAAAAGACTTCGATAGTTCATCGAGAAAAGTTTATCAAATTGGGCGAGTATAGAAAAACTCATCCAGAAGACATCAAGGAGGTTAACGGAGTACACGTTTGTTTCTCGAATGAGTTTCTCATTGGGAAGGGAAGTGATGGCACTCGAGTTTATGTAGGATTGGAGAAAAGTGGTCACGAGAGGGCTGTAAAACGTTTGCTCAGAGATGACGGCACTGGCTTAGCTGAACAAGAAAAGAAAGTCTTAAAAGAACTCAATGAAACTAAGTCCAATTATGTGGTAAAATATTGGTTTTTAGACGAGCAAAGCGACAAGGAGTACTCATTTTTAATCTCCGATTTATGTGAGGAAACGTTGGAAAATTTTGTTGCTCATAGCAGTATTGACGATCTGGAAAAAATAGCGCCAGATATCATTCGGCAAGTTTTGACAGGATTAGCTGATCTTCACTGCGAACCAATGCCCATTTTGCATCGGGATTTAAAACCATCCAACATTTTGCGCAACGTCCACAATAAATGGTTACTGGCAGATTTTGGTATCAGCCGCATTCTGACAAAAGGTGCTAGTACTCTTCCCAACACTGGCCAGAGAGGAACGGAAGATTGGATAGCCGTTGAGTCATGTCCTTCCAAAAACAAGACTGGTGATGGCAAACTACGCTACAAGAAAGAATCCGATATTCAGGTAAGGTTTTCAGTTATAAACATAGGGCGTCACTAGAGTGTGTATGATGTGGGGGGGGGGGGATGTGGAACATCGCCAAGATGTCAGTAGTCGGGAAATTAGTGAATTCCAGTCGAAAAATTGTTTTTGTAGTTAGCAAAATAAGAATTGGATAGGAAGGAAGAAAACAAATGTTTGCTTTATGCTGATTAAAAACTACAGTAATACTTATAGTTAAAAATTGGGAAAATTTATGAAAACATTATAGGGAAAATTAACGAATAACGGTACGTTAATCCAAATAGAAAATGAACATGTAATGTCCGCAAAGATCTTTATGTTAAGAGCCCCCCGTCCCCGCTCGTCAACTGTTCAACCCTCTCTCCATTAAAATAAGGCTAGCGACGCTCCTGGATTATGTAACCACAAATAAAAATGATATATAGTGTGGTTGCAGGTTTTCCGTTGCTCTCAAAATATGGTGGCGGAACTCCGACGAAAACTGTGTAGGATTTACCTGTAGAAATAATTGATATGCAATCAGTGATGTAATGCATACTTGATCACGAATCATTTCTATACTTTTTGAAATCAATGCAGCCCTGATCAATCTGCCTATTGAAATTGACTAAAGCCGGTTTTTCACTTCGAGCGTACCGTACCGAAAGGTATCAAAACGTTTTTAAATTTCAAAATTTCGTAAATGTTACTTGGTTAGTACTTCCGTAGTACGCCAAAAAGTTGACTTGCGACGAACTTTTTATTTTGGTACGCGAATACACCCGGAAGTACGTGAATTTTTCAATCTGCGCATGCTCACCAATACGTTTCGGTACGATATGGGCCAAGCGGAAAACCGGCTTAAGAGTGTATAAGTTTAGCGTAAATCTGTAGCCTAACATCGGAACCATATAAAGGCGATTCGCATAGGCGTATGGGACGGGGGGGCAGGGGGCGGCAGCTGCCCCCCCCCCCCCAAAAGATTAAGACCGGACCG